ATGTTGGTTAATGCATCCACTCATTAAAAAAAAAACACACTTGAGTATGTGCAGTCAATTAGGTTGAGTCAGCATAGCTTAAATGCATTGCATCGATACACAAATGCTTCAAACGTTGAGTGTGCTGAGTGGACGAGCCCAGCAATAATCTGATTCATCTGTGTGTTTTCTGTAGCTGTGTTGCATTGTGTGCAGTTGAAAGCAGATGCACACATGGTTATTAAACAGTCGCTCACTCATTCAGGACAAAGTAAAGCTCCAGCTGCTGGACAGTGTGAGACGTCTCAGGACTCGTCTTAGACTAAACATGACATGAGGAACATGATTTACAGCCGTTAGTGTGACTGGACAGGACCATAGATTTGACAATTAAGATTCAAACAGTTTATCTGCTCTGCACTAGAGACTGTGCAGTCACACCGGAAGAATACCGCTCAGACGGATGTGGAGTAAATAGATGAATTTACACTAAGAAATACCCCAGTCATATTTCAGTAGGTACATAAGTACGTAAGTATGTAAGTGCATAAGTAAGTATGTAAGAAAGTAAATAATTAAATTAAATTGAGTACAGAAAATCAGCAAATACAACAGCTGTTCTAACTGTACTTATGTAAATGTCAATATTTCTTTCACATTACAGCAATGAGAATTACAGGGGAAGTACTTAAAGGTGCCGTATGTAAGTTTTTGACTCTACTAAAGCATAAAAATACCATAATATGTTTGCAGATATTTAAGAAACATGCTAAGTTAACACACTTGTTTATCTGAAAAACAATGCTACAGTCAGTTATTCTCCTTTGAATTGTGCGTTCCGGGTCGGAATGTCGGTCTCTGTTTTGGTCTGTTTAACCCGCCCACTGCCAGTTTACCCAATTCTATTTTGGCACGCCGGGTTGCCAGTTGGCGGGAAACACAGCGTATTTCATTTCATTCATCGTCAAGTGCGCTGTTCCTGTTGGTGTCATCAATCTGGCAACCTCGTGTGCGTCAAGTCTGAGGAGGAGGGGCCGGGTGAAAAAAACCCTCTCCAATATTTTGAATTTGGACTGCAATACCTAGTTCAACCACTCGGTGTCAATCCTACATACAGCACCTTTAATTGAAAAAAAAGCTTAGAAGCAAATCCTTAATGGGTTATTTATAACATGTAGTTGTATTGAACATAGTATATATATATATTTTTTGTATTTCATTTATATAAATAAAATTTATCGTTTTTTATGGGAGGAAATGCCTGATGATCTGGACATTCTTGATAATTTTTATCATTCATAATTCAGATTCACTCAGATACTAAATCTCGGTTAACTTGAAGTCTAACCTGACTATTTAGACAGATTTCTGCTCATGCACAAGCATGAATAAACTAAATGCCTAGGAACAATCCCACATTGTTGTGGTCTCACACTCAGTTCCTCCCAAATATAGTTAGCTTTATTATGCATGTTTATTCAACGCCGTGGCAATTTATTATCAAAGTGAAAAAATATGGCACAATGTACTGTTAATATGAAGGAATATTCCGGATTTACTTGTTTTGCTTGTATTTTGAAATATGCATTGAGTTGTACTTTATGATTAAAGGAAATGTCTTGGCCAAGTACGTTTTCCATTTTCCTACAGTTTTTTTTTTTTTCTTACAGTGTACCAAATCAATGCTTTTATGAAACACTGTTTGAGTCAATAAAATAAAATACATTCATTTTGACAGATGTTGTACAGTATTAATACCTCAATAACCATTACACTGAAGTCAAGTTTATTTACATTCAATCTTTACAATAAAAATCATTGTGAGCGACACCCAATTCAGTTTAAAGAATCAGTCATTTTAAGTACGGCTTCGAGTATAGCAAAGCAGCTCACAGAAGAGACAGAGTCGGTGAATTCAGTGCTATAGCAGCTTCGTTTGGTCTTTCCCCGAGGAGCACTGAGGCGCTTGGACTCACAGGTTGTGATGTTTTCCAGGTTTCCCAAGGGGACGCTCCTGAGAAGCTGGCTCACCAAGTCCCGACCCAGACTGCTGCTGCTCATCGCCGGCTTGAAGAGGCCTCAGGTCACCCTCAAGCGCAGGAAAAGGATGAAACGCACCAAAGTAGCAAAGGCCACGTAAGCGGTAAATATGGTTGTTGTTGGATGTGAGAGTGACCACTCAAACTCATCCCGACCACTTCAACCATCTTCCTCTGAAATGAACTTCAATCTCATTTAGACTTTATAGTGCTTGCACTGGATTTGGATTGTAATGAAATGGACAAGTAGTTAGACTGAGAAGATCAGACAGAGCATAACAGGTCAACACTGATTGAAGAACTGTTGATGACTCATTAAACGTCTGTTGGACCTATTTTTAGCTGTGCACCAAATAAAACACCAGGCACCATCCATGAATAGTGTGTAGTTTGATGTCCCATCACTTATAAAAAGCACATAAGAAAACTTAAGATTGCTGCACATCAGGTCACATTTACTGCTGTCCGGCAGATTTTTACAGGTAAAATCCCGTCATTTCACAATCAAGTGAAGGTGAAAGATTTCCTCATGCTGATTTTTGTCAAACCTGTTACTCTGTGAAAATTCATGGACAAAAACCTTTCCAATTCCAACAGGAATCCACACGATCAGGGGGTTCTCGTGACAGTAAAAAAGCTCCCTTCGCAGATTTAGCTCAAGTTGGTGGTGTAACGTCAGCGCACAGCACTTCTGTGTGAGCTGTGCTAGATACATCGCTACATTACTGCACATGAAATTACACTGAAATTGGTTTGAAAGTGTGGAAACAGACAATGGACCATTTTACCTGTGAAATTGTGCAAAAATGTTGCTAATGTGACCATACCTTTAGTTGAATCTATATTCTGTTCATAAATATCTTTTGGTCTCACTTTAGTTTAAGGACCGATTCTGATTATTAACTAACTATTCAATATGGCTTCTGCCTCAATAAACTCCTAATTAGCTGCTTATTAATAGTTAGTAGTTTAACTAATTAGTAGTTAAGTTTAGGTATGGGGTGGTCTTAAGGGATCTAAATATAACCATAAATGCCAGAATAAGGCATTAATATGTGCTTTATAAGTACTAATAAACAGCCAATATGCTAGTAATATGCTTGCTAATGAGCAACTAGTTAATTGTGAGAATTGGTCCTTAATATAAAGTGGTATCAATGTTTTTAATCATTAAAACATTTTAATTACCAAAACGTTCAACATTTTGCATGCAGCCCTTTCACTGCTTTATTTTCCTCCATTATACAAAATGGAACATTCCATATATTTGTGATCCCAGGAAGTGACATCATTTAGACCATCTCTACAGCATGGCGGGAGGACAAGTGAATCATTTCATTTTCCCAGTTTTACATTTTCTAAAAAAAAAAAATTTAAAAAAAAGTTGTAGCATTGGCAGCATTTAATGAGCTCAAGCTTTCAACCCTGTTACCAAAATTATAATTCTGCCAAAATGATTTTCTTTAATTTATGGAAAATATAAGTTTTTAATGATTTAAAACAGCAGTTGTCCCAAACTACCCCTTGTGGTTAATTATTTGAATTATTTATAGTTAAAAAACCTGTTCCAAATTTTGGTAACAGGGTTGCAACATTTGAAAATTTCATAGAAAATAAAAAGCTCATATAATTATATACATATATATATTAAGTTTGGTCTCCTGGGGTTGATGATTCCTCTGGTGGTGGAACTGTCAAGTCATACTTTGCACCCTATTCATGGAAAGTGCTACCAAAATGTAATAAACAACATAATGAGTTGCTTTTTCAGCAGAAATCTTACATGCATCCCCTTGCGTTGCAGAAGCTGCAGTCGTATGCCACATTTCACTTGAGTCGCTGACATAGAGAGAAGCTGCATCTGCCGTCGACATGAACGCAGACCCAGAAACAGAGAAAGCATCTCAGTCGTCTCGGCCAAACATACGAACTAAACACCAAAGCAGAAGCAGCAGAGGCTCAGAGATTGATGTGAAAACGAGGGATCTTCCACAAAGATCCAGACCCCCCCGACTAAGATCCGGAGCCTCCCAGTGACATTTGTTCATCTTTCTCTCAAATACACTTCTGTCATGCTTCAGTTCACTACACAGCGTGTGACAGCACATTATTGCTCTTGCCTTTGCTTGACAGTGCTTTCCTTTCCTGTGTTCTCTGGTCAGGATTTCAGGGACTTTTATTTTTCGATTCCTAATGATGTGTGTGGGTGAAAAAGAAGAAGAAAAACAATGAGAGAAAAAAAGAAAAACTTATAATTGCCTTGAGCTAGTAAGCAACAGCACACCAGTGGGGTTTTCTGTTGAGCTTGTCAGACTGACGGTCTATTACTGTGTCCTGAGGAGTAAAATAATTCATTTACATGGCAATATCCAATGAAAAAAAAACATTACATCAGAGTTATATCAATCCAAATGGATTATTCTGTGGCCCCCATTATCAATTAACAACCCCAAAAAATCATCACTGAAACATGATTGAGATTTTTTTTATTAAAAAAAAAAAATAATCAAGCAGCTATTTGACATAGTTTATAGAACTAATTGGTTGTTACTGAAGACGTCCACATAAGTATTAATAAAAACTGCACTAATTGTTAGGTGAATCTCATAAAGCATGTCAAATCTAGCTCATATATCACACAACATCCAAGGAAAAAATAAGAAATTATATTTTGCATTAAGAAAATGACCATATTTTAGGACCATTATCATTTGTGTTTACATTGTGACATTATTTTCATGACAATTAAGAACATTTTACCCCAAAATTCTCATTACTGAAATGTTTTTCTTTTTTTCTCAATAGTTACTCTCATTAGATTCTCATTACTATGTTACACTAATAAAAATAAATAAATATAAAATAAATGATATCAAGTATAAATACAATTATAATTTTAATGTACAATTCTTTATGCAAAATATAATTCATATATTTTATAAATGATTTTATTTAATATTTTATAAATTATATTTTCAAATTCTAACTTGTTTCTAGTTTCATCTGATTTTGGGGTGAAATACAACTCAAACATTTCTTGACATTTTTCGTGAGATTCACTCATCACTCTTCCAGTAACGTCCAGCAACAAGCTACAGCACAATGAGTCAAAATATACGCTTGCAGTTGGAATCTTATTTTCTCTTTTGAACAATTCTGTCTTTTGTGTTCATATCGTCTTCTATCGCTAGCTACTATGTCAAAGCAGACACGCAGATTTCTTTGAAGAATCACATGTGTTTAATTTCAGGATAATTATTTTAAGTTTATTTTCAGTAATTCTTTGAATAAACAAGGTACCACTTTATATTAAGTCATCCCATTTGTCCTTTGTTACATATGTAATAACAACATGGTAATGAAGTAGTAATTACACATTTATAAAACCAAAAAAATATAAACATTAAAAAAAAACAACTCATTAACATTTTTAGACATAAACCACTGATATCAGCTCTTTTTAACATTTGCATAGCAAATTAATTATTACTAATTAAATTATCCAAAACTAAGCACTTAATATAAAGTGTGACCAATGCGAGCCAATGTGTTAAAATCAAAGCACTGAGGATGATTCATGTGAATTTATCTATTGTGTATGAGTCACTTCACTTCACATTCATGAAAACACTGTAATTAAGTACACTTCACACAAACGCACACACACACACACACACACTCTCTCTCACACACACACACACACACACACAGTCTAGCTGAAGTTTCTCTTTAGTTGTGGTTTTTGCAGTGCTAGTTGTAAATCAGCTTTCGTTATATTTAATCTCATTTCTTCAATGGAATCTGATTCTGCATTTTTCAGCCTGACTGATTTCTGTTCAAGCATTAAATATGAAACCCATTAAGAAAGATGCACAGACATCCTGTGGGATAGGCAAGTAAACATGAGCAGGTTCGACTTTAACTCATTAAACTCATTCCTTTTCTTTAGAGATGATTTTTAAATAATTATAGAAAAAGATTTTGATTACTGTGTCCTACCCAGACGTGATGCGACAAGTTTCTTGTGTCGATTGATCTGTCTGTGTACAATAAGATGAAACTACTGTGCAACATAAAACAATCACAGCCAATCAGACGATATTTGACATTTAATATTCAGCTATATGGACCCATGAGAGTAGCTTCATCACCCCGGGTCTGGTTAGGACACAGTGCAAAACCTTTAGTTTCAGAAGTTACGTGATTTCAGATGGGCGAGTGTTTGGGATGTTATTTTATGGTGAATTTCTGCTGGATGAGCTTGTATCTGTTGAGCTGCTGCTCCGAGACGGACGGCTGAAGGCCTGCCAGAGCCTGTCTGAAGTCTTCTGAACACAGAGTCAGAGCGCTGGCCTCTGAATCCACACCTGCATCACAGACACAGAGATGAAGAAAGAGTGAAGGCAAGTAGTGCAGGCACTGAGAAAGAAGCAGAGTCAGGCCAGAAACATCCTCTACTCAAGCAGACAAACGCACATGTGAATGCTTGACCAATGCATTGCTAAAGCACAGGGCTAGAATGAGGTCAAAGTCCTGCAAAGCGTTTGCGTAGAGTATGTTTTTAGGCTAAGAGCGAGTAGCTGGAATATGGACACATGGGTTTCATGCATAAAATGTTACTTTTAATTTATTTTTGGTTTAAACATAGCTCCATCTTCTAAACGTTTAACCAATAAAGATCTCAGCTGTAGACTGGCAAATGCACAGACACGGTTTTGATATTTTGTTTCTTAATATATTGCATATATTTGCACTGAAGTGAATGTTTGATCATGCTGATGAGTCTGTCTGTGTATGACGGCATTTTACAAAGATGAAGGATCAAAGGAGTGTTTTCATGTACCTACACAAAACTAATGAACAAGTTTCACTTCCTATTCACTTATTATTGAATAATAATATATATTTTTAAACACAAATATATTGAATATATATATAATTATAATAACAATATATTTTTATTAGTGCTGTCAATCGATTAATTTTTTTTTTTCTGAAATGATTGCGATTAATCCCACCTTACATTAAAGTTTTTAAATATACTTTTATATTGCAATAATTTCACATTCAATCTTCAAATGAATGTAGAAACAACAAAGACAGTATATATTTTTTTATATTTGTTTAATGGCATCTTTATATGGTAGTATATAAATATTGATACCAATACTACTGATGTCTTTGTGAAATTGTTTTTTTTTTCTTTCCAATATTTAACCATTGACTAGCCATTTAACATTACAGTATAATAAAGAGTTGTCAATTTTAACTTTTATTAAAGTTTAAAAAATTACTTTCAATTTAGGTGAACTTAAAACAATCTTAAACACATAAACCCATTATAATAAATGTCATATTTACCTGCGCCCATCAGAAATTATGAAATATACAGAAACTGAATAAAGCTATCAAAAACTCAATTCTAAATTAAATATAGATGAATCCTTAAAGCTCTTTTTCTTTTGTTCTTTGATGAACAGTCATCACAGCAGCTGTTATGAGGTTATTTCGGCTGCTGAATCTGACACGCATCGTAGTTTCTCATAACTCTTTACCTGTTCTGACCCACCTCAGCTCTTAAAGTCTCTGGAATGAGCTGAGGAGTTGAATCAGGTGTGTTAGATGAGGGAGACAGTGCTGCTGCTCCACGACTGTTTGGAAAACAACTGCATTTTAGAGACACGTTCTTAATCTGACTCATATACAGGTGCATCTCAATAAATTAGAATGTCGTGGAAAAGTTTATTTATTTCAGTAATTCAACTCAAATTGTGAAACTCGTGTATTAAATAAATTCAATGCACACAGACTGAAGTAGTTTAAGTCTTTGGTTCTTTTAATTGTGATGATTTTGGCTCACATTTAACAAAAACCCACCAATTCACTATCTCAACTAATTAGAATATGGTGACATGCCAATCAGCTAATCAACTCAAAACACCTGCAAAGGTTTCCTGAGCCTTCAAAATGGTCTCTCAGTTTGGTTCACTAGGTTACACAATCATGGGGAAGACTGCTGATCTGACAGTTGTCCAGAAGACAATCATTGACACCCTTCACAAGGAGGGTAAGCCACAAACATTCATTGCCAAAGAAGCTGGCTGTTCACAGAGTGCTGTATCCAAGCATGTTAACAGAGAGTTGAGTGGAAGGAAAAAGTGTGGAAGAAAAGATGCACAACCAACCGAGAGAACCGCAGTCTTATGAGGATTGTCAAGCAAAATTGATTCAAGAATTTGAGTGAACTTCACAAGGAATGGGCTGAGGCTGGGGTCACGGCATCAAGAGCCACCACACACAGACGTGTCCAGGAATTTGGCTACAGTTGTCGTATTCCTCTTGTTAAGCCACTCCTGAACCACAGACAACGGGAGAGGCGTCTTACCTGGGTTAAGGAGAAGAAGAACTGGACTGTTGCCCATTGGTCCAAAGTCCTCTTTTCAGATGAGTTTTGTATTTCATTTGGAAACCAAGGTCCTAGAGTCTGGAGGAAGGGTGGAGAAGCTCATAGTCCAAGTTGCTTGAAGTCCAGTGTTAAGTTTCCACAGTCTGTGATGATTTGGGGTGCAATGTCATCTGCTGGTGTTGGTCCATTGTGTTTTTTGAAAACCAACGTCACTGCACCCTTTTATTCAGCAAGAACGCATTAAACTGATCGAAAGTGACAGTGAAGACATTTAGAAAGATTTCTATTTCAAGTAAATGCTGTTCTTTTAAACTTTATATTCATAAAAAATCCGGGAAAAAAAACAAAAACTGTTTTCAACATTGATAGTAATAAGAAATGTTTCTTAATGAGTGTTTACTATTGTCATCTCTAGAGAAATAACATTCTCCTCCTGCATGTGGTGTTGTGATGAAATCCTAATGGCCAACAAACAAGCAGCCCTTACAGCTCTGAGGACCGGAGGAAACAGAGACGGTGGCATTTTCTGTAACATTTACCATTTAGTTTGACATGGATACTCACCCCTGAGTCACATAATCAGAAAAGGCCGTTCATGGTATATTTTTCCACATACCTTCAGCGATACGTGAAATCTTTCTCTTGATGGCCCACATCATGGCGTCCGAACAGAGCGCGTAGAGATCGGCTCCGGTCAGCTGAGGAGGACAGGACTCCACGACCTCCGACAGACACACGCCGGGATCCACCTTAAACCTGCACCCAGAACAGCAGCAATAACACACACCCTCCAGCACTGAGAGAGAGGAGCGTCATGATGGACACACTCACCTGCGCAAGACTGCCTTCAGAACCTGCAGCTGAGACTCTCTGTCTTCATTCACACCCACATACACCAACTTATCAAACCTGGGGCGAAAACATGCAAGAATGCAAGAATGCCAGACAAACTGAAAAGCAACTGAATCTGAATGTATTTACCTGCCAGGCCTGAGCAATGATTGGTCCAGCAGATCTGGGCGGTTAGTTGCTCCGATCACAAAGACGTCTCCAGACGAATGAAGACCGTCCAGCTCTGCTAAAAGCTGTGACACAACCCTAAAAACAATGACAAAACCTGGCTTGTCATGATGCACCAATACACAGTTTCAAAGCAGCTTCACAGTATTAAACAGGAACGCACCAGAATCAATCATGCAAAATTAAAAACTGAGGCAAATCCAAATTCATGCAGGAAAATAGTCTTTATTCAGCTTGAGTAGTTCAATAACAATAATAGTTCAGTTCAATAACCGCATGCATTTATGGATTTTGAATTTCGAGTTCTTGCGTCAAGACGTGCTGAAAAGTCCACAAATAGGTGGACTCCACCCACTGTCTACTCAAGCCAATCAGATAACAGAGCCACATCGCTATGACCAATCACGTTTTGTTTTACACTCAGGAGGTGGCAATAGATTCACTTTGCATCCCTGAAAGGAAGTGACGTGGCGACGAGTCACCGGCAGTAAACTGATGTCCCGTTCTCCTTCTGAAGTACTCCACGCTTGCACAGATATAGGACAAAATATCATGTAGAAGACCAAATATGAGTCCAAGTGACCAAACCGATTTTATGGACTTCCTATCTCAGCCAGTGCAGATGAATGAGCGAGGTTATATGAAGGAGAGACCACCCTGAGTGTAAAGCAACACGTGATTAGTTATAGTGATAACATGATTGGTCAGCGCAATGTGGCCGTTATGTGATTGGCTTGAGTAGATGTGGGTGGAGTCCACCTATCTGTGGATTTGTGAGAGCTTTACATTTATTTATGAATCATAATGTATTTATTTGGAATAAAGGAACAAAAATAACCCCATAGTACAGTATACTCACATAAAGCAATAGAAAATGTCGGATCTGTGATAGTTTTTAATGACGCAAGATATGTAAACTATATAATCTATACAAAGCTCTAAATATTGGATACATGAGCATATCCAACTTTATTAGTAAACATTCAATGTACTCATGTAAAGCAATAGACATTATATAGGAAATCTCAACTGCTTGATTTTTCATATCGTCACAAATGTAACTATATTATCGCCCAGCTCTAATCTGCTAAATGTGACTATAAGGCATAAATATATTAAAATATTATACTTGAAACAATGTGTATTGTGAAAAGCACTAAACAAATAAAATTGACTCGACTTGAATGTAAGTATCTGAATTGTATTGGTGTATTTTCATTTTACTTCACTATGTTCCAAACCATAATATCTTACTTTTTACTCCACTACATTTTATGAAAATATATCTTTCCACGTTATTCTGAACTGAGGAAATCCCGAGGCAGGATCCCATACCTGATTCGTGAACCAGCTGAATCTTTTGAACTGGTTCACAAATCACACTGAATGATTCATTCACGGATTGGACTGGTGTTGTGAGTTTAGTATCTGCACATGTCTTGTGATGCTGACCTGTCCATCACCCCTCCTGAGTCCCCACTGTGGCCTCTATTAGGAGCCAAAGAGTCCAGCTCATCAAAGAAAATAACACAGGGAGCAGCAGTTCTGGCCTTACTGAACACTGACGGACAGAGAGAGAAGTGTTAACCAGCTCAGTGAAATAAATATAGTGGACAACAGACTGACAGGAGTAGTTTATTTCGTTGCTCTTACCCTCTCGAATGTTCTCTTCACTCTGACCAACGTACATGTTGATGAGCTCAGGACCCTTCACACTGAAATCAAACACCAAAGTGTTGCACTCTGACCAGTCTCTTGAATATTTCAAACTCAAAAGCAAACAGAGGCTAGTGCTGTAGTCACCTGAGGAAGGTCATGGTACACTCGGTGGCGACGGCTTTAGCCAGCAGGGTTTTTCCGGTGCCCGGCGGCCCGTAGAGCAGCAGTCCGGAGCGCCGCAGCCCCAGCGAGAGCAGCTCTGGATGCTCCAGAGGAAGCTGAATTGTGTCCAGAATCTCCTTCTTAACCTGCTGCAGTCCACCGACGTCCTGCCATCTGACCGACGGGATCTGAGATGAAGGAACTCTGCGTTTTAGACACAATCTAAAAAATGTAGATTCCTATCCTATCCTAGAATTCCTATCTCACAGACCGCATGCAATTTGTACAACTCAAACAGTTTAAATCAAAATCTACTTATGCGGTCACCGGTGTTCCACAGGGTTCTGTTTTGGGACCTCTTCTGTTTCTTATCTACCTTTTACCTATTGGCACCATTTTTAGGAAATATGGTATTCATTTCCATTGTTATCCTGATGACACCCAACTTTATCTGTCTTCTAAACCTTCCTCAAAGTTTCCTCCTTTTAATTTTCTCAAATTAAATAATAGTAAAACAGAAATTCTTCTTGTTCGAACAAAAACCACAATAGATAAGTCAAACATTTCCTCTGTGATAATAGACAATTGTCCTGTTCCTCTGTCTAATCAGGTTAAAAGTTTGGGTGTCATCCTCGATAAAACTTTGTCGTTTGAAGCATATTAACAGTGTTACCCGTTCTGCATTCTTTCATATTAGGAATATTAATCGTCTGCGATCTGTCTTTTCACTGAAGAGTACTGCTACTCTTGTGCATGCTCTTGTAACATCACAAATCGACTACTGTAATGCTTTGTTTTATGGACTTCCTTCCAAATCACTTCACAAACTACAGTTGGTACAAAATGCCGCTGCTCGAGTTATTACCAAAACTTCCAACTCTGAACACATCTCTCCTGTTCTACAAAATTTGCACTGGCTCCCAGTTAAATTCCATGAAAATTTTAAAATTGTACTTTTAACCTACAAAGCACTCAACAACTTGGCTCCTTCATATCTCTTGGATCTTCTTCATATACACACTCCTTCTCGTATTTTAAGATCTGCTTCTGCACTTACTCTTGTTCTCCCACGCACTCGGACAACTTCCATGGGGTCACGAGCGAATGCATAATAATAATAATAATCACAGCTTTAAAGCAGGAGATTTTACTGATAGCTGGGTAAATAGTACATTACAGCAGACTTCATTTCTGGGTGAACTTTTATGACATTGCTACAAATATACCCCAGCGACTTAAGACTGCTTTTGTGCTCCAGGGTCACATATTTTAGTTTATAATAAATGCTTGGCAGTACACTTTAACCATATTTTAAAGACAATACTCAATAACAAAACTACACATAAAGATGTACTTAAGCAGGTCAAAAAATAACTCTAAATGCATTTAATATAAATATAATATAATTCATTTTTATGAGGGTACAATGGACACAAAAGTCAAAGTAAGGTAACTGTACTTTTGGGGCTCCGATGGCTTGTGAATGCGCCTCCTGTAGGACGTCCAGTGCCGCGCTGAAGTCCTCAGACGTGACGCTCACCCCAGAGACACACAGATCCTCCTCTTCCTGTTCACTCGCCGCTTCTGGAAAACTACACACGAAAAACACCACACCAGTTTCTCATCCATTCGACAGAGAAAAACAGTGCTGGAGTGACTGACAGCAGCGGGGTGAAGACTCACTACGTCTGCAGAAGTCGTCTGTGAGCGGCTTTCCCAGCGCTGGTAAGAAGTGCGCAAAGATCTCCTAAAACAAAACCCTACAGAAACAAAGTCAACATGAAACCCTACTGGCAATCAAAAGCACTTATGTAAAGTTGGACCAGGACCATGTATGAAAAAATACATATGGTAAATCTGAATGCACAGATAAGATGGATGAGCAGTCAATAGTCTCACAGCTGTCTGTTTGGCAATCTTGCCAAGATTGACGTCTTTTCCCAACAGCAGGTCCTCACTGAGGCTGGAGAGCATCGTCCTGCGCTGCTCCTCGGACAGACTCTCTAGCGCCACCTGGTGCACAAACGCTGCCATCACATCCGAGGACAGCTCTCGCTGGCTGCTCACAGACCCCACCACCACCACACTGCAGAAGAAGAGAAGAAAGCAAGCAAACGATGACAAATGGCCATCTGTTCAGGTTCTTTCAACAGTCTTTGAAGGTCTCTTCCATTAAAGCGAATGGAAGGAGTCTGTCGTGCTGGCACCTCACCTGGCGTGAGCAGCTGCTATGAGCTGGCAGAGGGTGGAGGTGACCCTGGAGTCGGTCTCTGAGCCGTCCCGCGGCTGGCCGAGCAGCTGCAGGTTTCTCAGCAGCAAAACACACGGGTGATGGAGCTCCGCTCTCTCAAAGACAGACCTCATCTTAGCCTCGCACGCAGCTGCAGTGTCTGCGCAGAGACTGACGCAATCCACCTGCACACATCCAGCCTCATTTACATCTCTATTCATATTTGTGACCCTGGAGGACATTTACAAAATATCTTCATGGAACATGATCTTTACTTAATATCCTAATGATTTTTGGCATAAAAGAAAAATCAATAATTTTGACCCATACAATGTATTGCTGGCTATTGCTACAAATATCCCCCAGCGACTTAACACTGCTTTTGTGCTCCAGGCTCACATATTATAAAACGGAGAGTTCTGGTCCTTGATTCATTGGTTGAGCCGCTTTCAAAGCTGTTGTAAATTACTCTACAAACATACACCTTTGTTTACTTAATCTGAATGCACAGATAAGATGGATGAGCAGTCAATAGTCTCACAGCTGTCTGTTTGGCAATCTTGCCAAGATTGACGTCTTTTCCCAACAGCAGGTCCTCACTGAGGCTGGAGAGCATCGTCCTGCGCTGCTCCTCGGACAGACTCTCTAGCGCCACCTGGTGCACAAACGCTGCCATCACATCCGAGGACAGCTCTCGCTGGCTGCTCACAGACCCCACCACCACCACACTGCAGAAGAAGAGAAGAAAGCAAGCAAACGATGACAAATGGCCATCTGTTCAGGTTCTTTCAACAGTCTTTGAAGGTCTCTTCCATTAAAGCGAATGGAAGGAGTCTGTCGTGCTGGCACCTCACCTGGCGTGAGCAGCTGCTATGAGCTGGCAGAGGGTGGAGGTGACCCTGGAGTCGGTCTCTGAGCCGTCCCGCGGCTGGCCGAGCAGCTGCAGGTTTCTCAGCAGCAAAACACACGGGTGATGGAGCTCCGCTCTCTCAAAGACAGACCTCATCTTAGCCTCGCACGCAGCTGCAGTGTCTGCGCAGAGACTGACGCAATCCACCTGCACACATCCAGCCTCATTTACATCTCTATTCATATTTGTGACCCTGGACCACAAAAACAGTCATAAGGGTCAATTTTTCGAAATTGAGATTTATACATCTGAATAAATAATCTTTCCATTGATGTATGGTTTGTTAGGATAGGACCATATTTGTCTGAAATACAACTATTTGAAAATCTGGAATCTGAGGGTGCAAAAAAATCAAAATATTGAGAAAATCGCCTTTAAAGTTGTCCAAATGAAGTTCTTAGCAATGCATATTACTAATCAAAAATTAAGTTTTGATATATTTACAGTAGGAAATTTACAAAATATCTTCATGGAACATGATCTTTACTTAATAGCCAAATTATTTTTGGCATAATTTTGACCTATACAATGTATTGTTGGCTATAAATATAACCATGCTTCTTATGACTGGTTTTGTGGTCCAGGGTCACATATAACATATATGAGACAACCCCATATAAAACATACATGAAGTCACCCCGTAGCAGATCTATACAGGTGGAGCTGGGGAAGGTTGAGGGTTTCTGAAGCGC